ACTCCTAACCGGGAACGCTTCACACTGGAGAGTGCAAAGCAGCGCTGTAAAAAATTAGGTAAAGAGGTAAATCATATTTTTTGAAAGTCCTCCTTTATCGATTACATTAATTAGAAAGTTAGTGGTGTCAAAATTAGAAATTACACAACCATAGGAAAACTCAGCCAAGCCTGTTTGTTTGACATCAGTACGTTACTTAGTGCTAATTACTTAACGATAGTTAAATTATCCATCCTCACATGTTTTGCGAATCCAAGCATTTCTTTCAATTATTCCTCCATCTTAAAACTGTGATATTCCAACTGTGAATGCAGCCGGCTTGCTTGCGCAACGGATTCGTCGGTCCTTCATTTTGGTGGTCTTCCTCATGGTCGCTTGGACTCTCGCTGAATTTCCCGTCGTGTTGTTTCTGTTTACTTATCATCTTTTCATTTAATTATACTGTAAGCCCATGAAGGATTATTTTTGAGGAGGTGTTGCACTGGATCTCGAACAAAGGGTATGCTTCGATGATCTGACTGTCAGGATGCTGCGGTTCACCTTCACAAGACGTGGTTCGAGTTCCTTTTATATTGTCCGTAACCTTTCAGTTGAAGCCAAGTGTACTTGTACTATACTTGTTTGACTATGATGTTTTGCCTTGTGTGAATGTTGTGATTTCGTATTGCAGTACCACTAACTTTAATGGGAAAACGCATTTAGTTTAAGTTAGAGTGCTCAAAGCAATCCATTACCAGTATGTTCGCCTAGGAACTAACAATATAGGACTTAGGCTTCATTCAGAAACTGAAATTGTTGCTATAAAGGACAGTTCGGTTGCATTTATGTCTTGGCTGGTTACAATATAACTGTGCCATACCTGACTCACATTTGAGTCGATTTTACGAAAGTTTTGTCGTTTCATTATCAACTGCATTATGGCTCATTGCTCTTTCGTTATTCATAAGACTAAAACTTAAGTGCCCAAAGATATACAGTGAGTATATGACCGTACAGGGAATGTGTGGCTGAATGGCTAGAGGTACTTGCAATACCGGCGCAGTCTTTGGTTCGATTTCTAGGCTATGGTTAACGAAAACCTCTATCCCTACTGGCTCGTTAAATTAGTAGTGTTGTCTGGAAGGACAGTAGCGTTTACTTAATACATCGGTAGACATCGTAACTGTGTACCCCAAATATAAACTTATTCTCCTCCTCGATGTGTAATTGGGTCGAATGTATGGCGCTTCGTCAAGGGAGTGATCGACATTTAACCCCCTGCCCTTCATCTTCTATTCGTGAGCACAATAAGTCTTACGAGTTGAACGTGGCTCATTCTTTTTCTATTAATGAGGGTATAAGGTCATAGGATAAAAAGGATGAAACTCTCTGCGTTGATTATTGTTAAACGTGATTGGATGCATATCTGGTCAATACAATGGCTAGCAGTGGCCTATCGACGTATTATCGAGTTAGTACTGCTATCCTCTCAGACAGGTCTGGTACCAATTTGCCGGCACCAGAATGATGAAGGGCTCGGTGAGCTTGAGGCACGGGATCGTTGCACGACGATCTCTATCCACTGTGCTACACGAGACCATGCTAGTGTTGGACGCTTGATGGGTAGTGAATCGGTCGTCTCTTACCGATAAAGGAACAAGGTTACTTTAACTAATCACAGGTCAAAACTAAGCGATGACAATTCTTGATCTCATATGACGCCATAAAATTCATTTTTTTTTTTGTTACTTTTCACTTTACTCCATGCTCTTTGTATACTATCATTTGCGTCATAAAAGTCGCTAAAATTAATTGATATTGTTAAACTGAATCGTCTTTAGTAGCTTTCTGCCTGATTGTGTTGAAGAAGTTGTTCTCAGTTATTGAACTGCGATTTACAGCTGGGGACTAGTCTACTAGAAAGCTTCGAAGCCAAGAAGAAGTGCACTAGTCGGGCAGGGAAACGCGCCAGGTGTAAATTAACAAAAATCATTGCCATACTAATAGGAGCCTCGAAGTCGTGAGATGCCAACCCTCTGTTCGATCCACAACTGCAAGCATGTTATTGTCTATAAATACGACTTAGAAACGGCTTGGCAAAACTTCTTTAGACCTAGAAGAAAGAATTGTTGTCCATCCAGTATCCGAATAAATATCCTGCTGAAACCAGCATAATCCATAAAGATAGGTCGTACAAGTATCCAAGTAGTTGTAGAAATCGCCCAAATTGCGCCTATCACGTTTGTTATGGTAGTTCTCAAGGTATACAATCGCATAAGATTAATCGGTTTCTCTTCGTTTGGCGATTTCGCTTCCTGAATCACTATAGATTTCATGGATTCGCATCGTCAACACCGACAAGTCAATCAACGTCTATCGGGATTGTAGACGGAAAATTTACGATCAAGCGGCAATCAACATCGGTTTATGGCCATCATTGGGAACGTTGGACGATGACACCCGTGGACACAGCGATCCGAGCGATCACCTACGGTCTCCATGATACAAACTTGTGAATTTATTGCCGACTTTAAGGCAGGACTAGTTTTACGCCAATGCGCTACCAGACATATTTTATTGACGTAGTAGAAAGCTTTTGGAAACTCTACTAATAAGGCCTTGTAATGATGAATAAAGCTATACTGGAATTTCTCGGTGATTTTCAAATCTAATTAATGAATACTCTTACAAACTCATATAAATGCAGAGGGAAAGAACACAGTTTTTTTTGCCCAAAAATGAAAGGATACATAAAGGATAAAGCTCTCGGCGTTGATCAATCCTTGAGGGATGCGCCATGCATTCGAATTCACTAAGCATCATTTGTAGCTGATTGAATGCATATCCGGCCTTTACAATGGCTCGCGGTGGCCTACCGATATAGCGACTCAGTGCTGCTATCCTTCCAGACAAGTCTGTTACCGATTTGCCGACCCTGGAAGGATGGAAGGCTTGGTGGGCCATGGGCACGGGGATCGTTTCCACATATGTGTTGCAAGGCGTCTCCGATCTCTGAGACACCCATGTCCCTTGCCCAAAAATGCTCTAGAATATTTTATATTAGTGTTTAATTTTTCGCTGATTTCGATGCAAATGTGTACACTCGTTCTAGACATATTGTGAAGAATCTTTAATGATTTTTTTTCTTTGGAATCCTAACATCTTAGTAGAGCAATGGAGTAAATAATCTGGTAGAGAGGATTATACGTTGATGAAACTTTACTTTAGTAAGTTCTAAAAAGTTGATTTTCTAGAAATAGGAAGAAGGATTGGCACGTTCTCGACAATATGAGCCACATATGGGACTTTTCGGACAGTGCGAGGCGTATAGAATACTTAGTTTCTCGATTATTTCGTCAACTGCAATAACTTTTCCTGGATTTTTTCCTTTGATTCGAAGACTTCTCTCTCTTTGTCAGTCGCTTCAATATTTCGATCGTCCCGATGTTCTACAATCTTATTATTGCCGTCTGAGGTCGACTATCTGTTAGAGCATTTAATTGCCGATGAAAATCAACTAAGTTGTGTTTGCCATTGCTGACGGGATTCCCAAATTAGCACCACATGGCTAATCGGATTTCTAAGAGGATTTGTATCGACACAATGCTGATTTTATCATCAACAAGGTGACTAATCGCTGTTATCTTTACAAAGAAAACGATGGGCTCAGATTGCCTGCGGCGTTCGCGGAGCGACGGGACGCGACCATCAGCGGCGATCGACGACAGCGATAGCGACACGCGACGAACCCATATTGTGCATCCATTACCGACGACGTCGCGATAATGCAGGCACCATCTTGAGAGCCAGGTGATCAGCATTCAAGCCAAAAAGATCTTCGATTTAAACAAAAGGGCTCGCTGAATGGATTGGGCTTACTGTAGACACAGTTACGTTACACAAATAGTAGTTGCTTATCAAGACTATTAAAACGGCGGATGATGCGCAACTCTCAAGAAAGGTGTTAAGTCCTGAAGGTTTGCAGGAGGGAATGAATTTGATAATGGGTAACTAACCGCTGTTTTAGATAAGTACCGCTATCTCTTGAATCTCGAGGTTGTGATAGACAAACAACGAAGAACTAACCCTGACAGAGATAAATGGCCCTAAGTGAAACCTAAAGAAGATTAAAAGCAATAATGACTTTCTGAGAAAAACTTCATATTAAAAACAACGAAAACTTTATATTGTAGGCACAGATCATCTCACCTCCAGGAAGCAGCAATAGCATATAATAGTTTCCCAGGAAAGAAGCAAAATAAAAGTTGGTTTATTAGTGCAAGGCACTTGAACTGTGTGGAATCTCTTTTCATAACTAGGTTTCGATCGAAATCTAGGCCTAAAGCACATACCTCAAAAATAATCCCGGCCTCTCTTTAATCTGGATGTTTCTCTTAAGCGGATTTGAAGGAAACTAGCTGTTTAAATATTAGATACTACATGGTTCATCCTTTATTAATGTGTTTTCGACCTAGTAACCCTGGGATATATTTCGTTGTCTTTTAAATAGTGCTGACTTCTGTAGAATTTCCTAGTGTGTTCATTGTGAGCAGAGACATAATTTTCTTAGATCGACTTCGACAGGCTAGTGCTTGATTTCACATCTCATCGCTTAAAAAAACCGCAATTCACTTCCTATCTCATCTTTGAGTTCATTTTTTCAGCAAACGTATTATATTGACTAGTTTTACCACCTGGTTAGGTTATCCACTCACTGCCAACAGGTGATAAAACCACCGACGACCACTTTGTGCTTGTGTAGCTGAAAGGCACCTCGCTATCAGCGGCAATTCGTCGGGGTCTCGATACCTGGGCGTCAGTAAGTGTTAATCAAGTCAGAGCGGTGGACTTCAAACGCCAAAGACACGTGCCGATTGGCGTCTACCGTGTGGGCGTGGCTACTACCGTTTCGGACAACCAATCAGCTCTCGGATGGCCGCCCCCCGTTGTCGGGGCGTGGCACGCACGGACAGCGTGACGGCGGCGTGTCGACTACATAGCGTTGTACTTGAGTAATAAACATGGAAGTAAGCGTTCGATTAGCCAACGAGGAGCTTTGGACGACATTTCACGCGAACACCACCGAGATGGTCGTCACGAAAACTGGCAGGTCAGTGGTGAAGCCGAGTTTTTATTGGCTTTTGTTGTGTTTCGTCTTCTTTCTTTTTTTTTTTTTTGAAAAGGGAGGTCCCCTCCTTTGGTTTTCTTGCGAAAGTAAAATGTTTGACTGAAGGCTTTTTTCAGAAAAATGTTTCCTAAATTGGAGTACACCATTGAGGGATTAAAAGCAAATTTAGCCTACGGTTTGGTGCTTCAAATTGAGCAGGTCGACGATAACAGGTGAAAAAAGCATCTGTTTTTGTAAACTGCTTGAAAATTGCCGTTAGTCGTAAAACGTGCACCATGTAAACTAAAAGGATAAGGGTTTAAGCTCTTGGTCAATCCCTGAGGGATGCGCCATGCATTCGACTTCATTAAATGTCGTTGGAGTTGATTGAATGCATATCTGGCCTTTGCTATCACTCGCGGTGGCCTACCGATGTATCGAGCCAGTGCTGCTACCCTCCCAGACAGGTCTGGTATCAATTTGCCAACCCCGGAGGAATGGAAGGCTTGGTGGGTCATGGGCGTGAGGATCGATTCCACGTGTGTGTTGCCGGGCGCCTCCGACCACTGCGCCACACGCGCCCTATGTAAACTAGTTGCTAAATTTACCGCAAGCGATAAATCGTTCCAATTCAAGCAATTCATCTAGAAAAGTCAGTAAAAATTACGGTATGTTTTTGTTACCGTTCAATACATAGGGTTTCCTGAGTGATCGGCCTGTGAGGTTTTACAGCTTTTCGAACTCGGATTTCATTTGCTTCGACATTATTGAACCTTGTGTTGTTTTATCGATTATCGATTTATCGACTCGATTTTCATTGGTTGCACGGAAACTTGAAATCGCGAAAATTTGTTGGTCATATTGAAATGTTCCAATCATTTTCTTCATTAGCTATTCTTCCACGATTTCTACTATCTGAAGATGTTTAAGCTTTTGTTCTTTAATGTAAAGATCAGTTTCACGAAATAAAACATACTTCGCCAAAAAAACGACCGCAGCGAAATGTTTCTGGAAAATAGATGAGCCTTGTTGTGGATCAGCTATATCACCCATGGTCGTGCAAGTGATCGAGAAAAGCAATCGGGTGCCAACTATCAGGTTGTCCAAAAATAAATGAGCGTTTTAAAATATTTGTTGTTTAATGTTTTTTGGCAGTAAAATATTTTTCGTAGCCTGCAATTATATTATATATTTATTATATTTCAATTATTATATGATTAGAAAGCTAATTTTATCCCTAATTTTATCCTCTCTTTAACCATCTTTCTAAATTTTATTCAAATTTCAATTTTTCTAGCAATTTGCCGTTTTAGATGTCAAAAACGAATTTTCATCGAGTTTTCTTCTATGAGTTTAAACTCGATCTTAGTGCTTCAGAGACGGCTCGAAACACTAGTGAAATTTGGGGTGAAGGTAGTGGTGGCCAATCAACGGAGCAAACGTGGTTCCAGAAATTTCCACCTGATGGTTTCGACTACGAAGATAAGGAAGCACTCAGGTGTCCCAATGAATCGACGACGACGAATTGAAGGCACAAGTAGAAGCGAACGCGCGAACAACTGTTCGAGAGCCTGTGGAACAGCTTGGCGTAAGCACAGGCACAGGTTCCACTCACTTGAATCGCCTGGAAAAGACAAGAAACCCGACAAGTGGGTGCTGCACGAATTAAACGTTCATCAAAAAATTTGCCGTTTTGAATTGTGGTCTGCTTTTATTCTGTGCAGCAAAAACGACCCTTTTCTTGATCGAATTGTGATGTGCGATGAGAAGTGGATTCTGTACGACAACCGGCGACGTTTAGCTCAATGCGTAGATTTCCATCAGGCTCCACAACACTTCCCAAAGTCAAAATTGTACCAAAAGGTTAAGGTGACTGTTTGGTGGTCTGCAGCAAGGCTGATTCACCCCGTTCTCCACCATCTCCCGTTCCTACCTTGCACCTTCTCACTACCATTGACACCGTTGCGCATTTCAGTGACGTAAATTTTCTCCCTTAGCAGATCCTCAAGTTAAAATTGATCTTTTACTTCCCAGTTCGAAAGTCTCTGCTAAAGTGCGGTTACCCACGTGTCCAATCATAACGCGAAATGCGACGACGTGCCCTCCATAGGAGTCATACAATCCGAAAGCAACGACCGCTTTCAGTTTAAATCAAAGTCTCTCGGTCAGCAGTTTATTTTATTAAGTTTAATAAAAAACTATTGGGATCTAGAGATTGTTTTCCATACATATAGGCTGTTTCATTATGTCAAGATGGAATTTCGATTTCGTAGAGCTCATGAAACTTATCGCTCTCAATTTTTGATTCTAAGATCCGTATTTCCATTACGGATTTGCTGCTGCCACTCTTCACTTTGAAATTCTAAAGCCTTCAATTGTATCTTCAACTTTTCAAAAGTTTTATTTCTAAGTACATTTAAATTTGAAAAGGCACTGTTCAAAATTATATAGGCTTTTAGTACGGTGGAGCAAAGTCTCTTCTAACGACCCCTGAAATCCTGAAAGATTCTAGCGCTCAAGAAATTATCGCCAGTTACCGAAAAACCAGCTCCGTCGCAAAGGGTTTGACTTTAAGATTGGAGAGTTGTTTCCAACCATGGTGAGAAGAGAGAGCTTCACAGCGACTTAGTTTTACTAACCTCGACATTGATCAATAATTCGTTGTTTTCTTGATGGGCATACACGTGGTTGTTACTTCATTCTTTATCTAAAAAATAGTTGGCTGCTTAGATTGCAGTCAACTTGACCTTTCCAGACTCCAATGAAGGCGAAATCCACCTTAATGTCAGAATTTTTGCCAGTAAAGCATAAAGTAATAAAGTAACCTCTCGTGTGTTTATCAGGAAAACAGCGAATTTCTTACTAAGCTTTCCTTGAACAGAGGTTTCTAAAATTATCTCTTCACAGTAAATTTTTTTCAAGTATTCGTTGACGATATCATTGAATGCTCAGGTACAAGTTTTCCGGTGGTGAATGGACTGCAGCCGGTCGCGGTGAGAGTGGTGGAGTGCCGAAGAATGTCATGCATCACGACGGGGTGATGCCGGGTTCGCACTGGATGCGCCATACGGTGAACTTCGAACGCGTCAAAATCACCAACAATCTCAACGACGCCAATCCCAGTCATGTAAGCTTTTCAGAATACGAATTGCGGTGTGCCTTACACTCTTAGTGTAGCTGTGACTGTATGTCGTTTTCATTCCTATCACTGCCATCTGCTAGGCTAAAATCAGGACATTTCTCTGTACTGCCACCGTCAAGCCTCACAGTATAGTACAGTTCCAACAGAATATGTATTAGGCACTCTGATTTCTAAAATTTGACTCTGATAAAAAAACCTAACAATGACAATTTTCTTTATACGAATCGATCCATAACCCAGCAAACTAGTCGTGGTCGATGTACTCACATGTGGATCTCCTCTGGTTTGCTAATCTTGAAATTATTTTAATACAAAGTCAGGATTTGACAGCAATGAGTTTTTGAAATGGAGCTTGCCAGTTTACCTTTGTCGTGGCTGAGATAATCAACGAGAGTGTTTTGATTTGGAAAAGTCCTCCATCAATATTTTTTAATCAAAGTTCTTTGTACTTCCCTCAATTAAGAGATCACTTGTATCGCATGCAATAAATAAAATTCCTACTCCACCCTTGTAGCTTTCTAAGCGCTGTTTAGTGAGCTCAGCTCACCCGAGCAACACGAAGAGCATTCATACCCTTTTTTTGGAGATATTCGGTAAGAAATTTGATTATCTATTGATGGCCTTTATGTTATGTATCAGAGTAAAAGTTCAGAAAGACAAAGATACTTACTTACTTGATACTTAAACGGCCCGTCATCACTAGTTGTGCGAGTCCCAGAATAATCACCGCTTTTCGGAGATTTGCTGGTTAAGCCATTATGGTTCCCAGAAATCCCGAAGGCAGCCTGGCCGAAGTCTACCCCAGGTCGTCACCACCATGGGCAGTTGCAGCCCTTGTGGATCAGAGGGAGATTTACCACCATGCGACTTTGATACCAAGACGGTGGTGGATTCTGGTATTGGTTTACTCTTAGGTAGGTTTCGTGATGGAAACGCCGGACTTCTTCTCAGCTTGGGAGACCCTGCTAGGGGGACGAATCTCCGCTGTACATCGCAGTCCGACACCCAGGAACACCTCCCAGCCACGATGAAGCGGTAAAGCGTTGGGAGAAAAAGACAAAGAAAGAAGAAAAGAGAACATTCAATGGAAAGAGTTTCGATAAAAACGTTTATAGAAGTTGGTTTGAGTTATATCCTCACAACCTTCTGCAAGTGTTGTAAACACTGCACCTAAACGAAAGTGAGGGAACGGCTACGCTAGTTCTACATATACAATGTAATTGGCTGTATTTAATACCCAATAAAAGGATAAAATTCTCGGTGCTGATTAATCCCTGAGAGATGTGTCGTGCATTCGGCTTTATTAAGCATCGTTTCGAGATGATTTAATACATATCTGGCTTTTAAAATGACTCGCGGTGACCTACCGGGTACCAATTTGCCGACTCCGGAAGAATGGAAGGCTTGCTGGGACATGGGCGCCTAGATCGATTCCACGTATGTTTTGCAGGGCGCCTTCGACCACTGCCTCACACGCGGCCCTTAGTGCCTAATATCAAGATAACCCTAAAGCAAAACCCTATACAACGTTCTGCTGAAATATTGAAGCCGCTGCAGCTTTTTTTTCTGAGCGAATCAAAATACTTCAATATTTTTTGTTTGTCGGATCTTCATAATTCTCACTGCCGAAGTTTGTTATGCTAAAGTAATACATTCTAAATTAAATCGATCCAATGCATGCAATTGAACCGTACGATTCTAGAGACGTGAGTAGTTTACGAATGTTTCTAATCAACTCGAGTTCACATGTTTGTTGATTATCACGGGTACAATTGATACCAAAAAAGTGATGTATTAATTCTATTGGCCGTAAGAGTACGTCTGTTGAAAGGAATGTGATTGTGATCATGAAATATTCATAAATAGACCAATGGGCTGAAAACTACCCAATGTTTCCTTCTGCGCTGCAGTTTTTTTTCTTCTGCTGAGATGGTCGTTGACTCAAAGGTGTGGGCTGGACGATAGCGGCAGCGTGCGCCTATTCGTATCTGATCCGATCTAACCTCCTGACGTTCCGACAAGATAGTGCGCATTATGCCACCAATATTCACCACTAACAACAATAAGACTAATTAGCGTAAATAATTACGGTACAGAAGAAATGTCAACACTGATGACGTAAGCTCCAAAATGTTGCTCGCCTCTAAACATTTGGATTCTGCATGATTTGTGTGAAACAGTAAGACTGTGGCTCCCTGAACAACATTTGTATTGATTAATTTTTGAAGTTTAATTGATTTTTAAATGTTTAAAATTTTTCTTACTAATATTGATTTTTTGAAAAGTGTATCCTATTGAAAGTTTGTTACTTTTGCTAAAGAATTAATTGCAGCAGTTCTAAATTGAAACACACCTTTCACTAATTAATACTATTTTGGAATTTTCCAATTTTTAAAGCGTTATCAACTAATTTGAGCAATTTTGATTAATTTCATCTCTTAGCGACGTTTGTATTAGCGCCTGTAACGACGTGATTAGAGGTGCCCTGCCATATACGAGGTCCGCGGTTCGATCACGCACCCGATTCCACCTAGCTTTCCGTCTTGTGGGGTCGGGAAGTTGCTGTCAGAATGGTGTGGAAGGATAGCAGCACTGATTTTATATATTGGCAAACTATTTAAAGTAATTCTATAGGCCGCACATGCATTCAATAACCTCTAACGCTGCTTGATAAAGTCGAATGTATGGCGCTCTCTACAGGATTGGCAAACGCTGTACACTTCTCATCAATTTCCCCATATGGTCACTATTACCATAGTTTTTGTCCTTATTATTATTGTTCTCATTACTATTATTATTGTTAAGTGCCACCGAATTCTCATGTGTTGCATCTTGTGGAGCAACGAAACTCGTCCAACGTGGGCGTGGCATCTGAACTGCACATCACTAATCAGTTCGGATGTGTCAATTATGAGTGGCGCTGTCCAGAGTGCTCAGCACGACCGTTGCCTCATGCTTATCTGCTGATGTCTGTATGTTGCGATTACGGTAGCGACAGGTCGGTGATCGTCGTCTAGAGATAGCAGAGCGCATCCATCGCCACCAACAAAAACCACGCAATTGACGGACAATGCATTGACTCCCGACTAGGTCGATTGAGTAAATGTGTACCACGTAAGTGGTATGTACATTTATATTCTCGTGATTTGGTCTTCGGATATCGTAGTTTAATGGTCCATTCACCAATCGATAGAATCGCCGCTGTCATAAAAGAAACATAACGAGAAGCCGACAAGCTTGGTTAAGGTCTGTAAAGGCGCTTTCAATTGACTATGCCGAAAATTTAGAGACACCTTAGCGCGGTTTTACTAAGATTTCAGCAAGAATGATGCTCTAGTGTTATTTTAAATCTGGCTGAGATGAGAGAACGGCAAATCCTCAAGCTTCAGCCGACCTCACGAACGAACTCCGACACACTCAGTGGGTGATAGTTTCAAAGAAACGAAACGGAGAGAAATGTTGAGGTTGAAGTAAATCGTGAATGTGGACGTTCTAAGTATCTAAACATATTTTACTCTGAGTACCATATCTCTTTTCGCAACTTGGATACACGGTGAAGCACATCAACGTCACGTCGATGCGTACGATTTGCATACAATCGGTTTAACTAACTTAACAATCACATACAAGTGAGTGCCTCAATCGTGGTGATTTTTGCGCCGATTTCGTAACCCTTATGTAATATTCAAATCAAATATGTTCAGGAAATCGACTACTCCCATACTAGTTTGCCAAACTTCTACAAATACATGAAACATTGAACGATTGTAGCAACGACAGAAAGTATTAGCACTTAACCTACGCTTTATATTTGTTTGTCAATGCTGCGCAATCCACGAATTTGTTTTCTACAGGTTTGAAGAACGAGGAAAGTAGGCTTTTGTCATTAAAATTTAACAACAACATATTAAAGCTAAAAAGCCCTCGGCGTTGATCAATCACTGAGGGATGCGCCATGCATTCGACTTCACTAAGCTTTGTTGGAGGTGATTGAATGCATTATCTGACCTTTAAAATAACTCGCAATGGTCTACAGTTTATGAAACCAGTGTTGTTATCCTCCTGCGAGTCTAGTACCAATTTGCCGACTCCGGAGGGATGAAACGCTAGGTGAGCCACGAGAGCAGGATCGATCCCGTGTGTGTGTTGCAGGGCGCCTCCGACCACTGCGCCACAAACCCCACTAACACATTATAATGAACATTCAAAGTCATTTAAAATTAGATAGAAGGTCTAAAAATCAAAATGCTTTCTGGCTAATTTTTTAGCAAGTTTGTAGAATGAAATGGCAAGCGTTCAGTGATAGTGATAGTCTACGGTGGGCCTCTTTCTCTTCCTTCACTCTCTTGCTTATGGTTCCGTCGAATAGGTCATGAACGCCTTAAGATCATATCTAAATAAAAAAAAATACGTAACTGGCAAAGGAGATTAGGTTTTTTCCAAGTAAATGAACAGGTATCGTTACCAAATATATCATATTTATCAATATATCAATTCATCTCACTTTTCGGCAAAATTTCTCGCGTTCGTATTTTATGAGACGATAAGGTTACGGTAGCGATTGGCAGCGGATCTACACGTACGACACGTGCTCGTAAACGAATAAAGTGACTATAACGTTGTTGATCCCGTTGAAGAAATATTCTCTGCTAGAGACTCTAGTTACAGACTGGCTAGATTTACCAATTCAAGTATCGATTACTTTTTAGATTTTTTTGCAATCAATGCATAGATACGTGCCGGTGCTGACCATATTTGAAATCGCACAAAGCGAGATGCCGTTCTTATCCGCACCCACAAGTCAACCACCTAAGCAGGTAACAAAAAAAATTGCTATTCGAGACAAGCTTTTTAGAAAAGCCCACTTTACTCGTTCCGAAATCTCAAATCGAACATCCTAATTTCATTTAAAATAGAAGGAATCAGACAAAGTTTGACTGATGAAGTGCATTTTTCTTCACTCCATCCCTTACACTTTTGAACACCCTTATTTGAAGCCATACGTTTAGGATCTAGATAAGAAAAATTACCAACTAGCAACAAAAATAACGGTAATACTACTTACTTCGATACTTGAATGGTCCGTCCTCACTGGTTCTGCGGTACCCAGCACAATCTCCATTTTTGGAGTTTTGCTGCTTTAGCCATTGTGGATGCCTGGATTTCCGAGCTTAGCCTAGCCAAAGTCTACACCAGGTCACCGCCACAGGCTGTCGTCGCGCTTGTGGATTAGAGGAAGATTTGCCACCATCCGACTAGTTTAGTATCACGACGGTGATGGTTCCTGGTATTGGTTTACTGTTAGCTGGGTTTTCTGGTGAAACCGCCAAACTCCTTCTAAGCTTAGAAGACCCTTCTGGGGATAAATTCTCCTCTCCACATCGTAGCCCAGCATCCAGGAACACCTACCAGCCACGATGAGGCGGTAAACCGTTGGAAGGAGCTGTTATGTTAATATAATACTATAATTAACAGAATTAGAATAGTTATGATATTTTTGTGATTTAGATAGCTCGGATACGATTACCAGAAACCGAATTTATTGCCGTAACTGCCTATCAGAACACCACAATCACACAGTTAAAAATCGAGCACAACCCGTTCGCAAAAGGATTCCGTGATGGTGGCGAGCGAAAAAGAACTACACCGGAAAGTTGCTCAGTTAGTTAATCTCAAATTTATTATTAATTGCTTTTTCAATTGGATGTACGTTTAGAATACGATTAGAAGGAAATATTCTAAATCTATTCTGCAAAAAAGCGATGATATCGCGACAATTAGGCTAGTTTGTAAATGATCAGTGAAAAGCGGGCTTTGTAAACACTCCACTAATGAACGTTGGTGCTCAAATCGCGCTATGTGGAGTTCTACTTATTGGCTTACTTGCCCATGATTAGAAGGCGGATATGCTTTGTGCACGTACACACACATGTACGCACACATACACACACACACGCACACACACACACACATGCCACCTACTGCGTTCATTTTCAGGCAGCACCATCACCGAAACGCATCTACTCACCACACAATTGTCCAGCTATTCTCGATAAACCGATGCCGGCGGTAGTCGCCGCAACGACACCAATGCCTATGCCACCACCTATATGGCATGGATTCTATCCGACTTATTGGAATCCGTACTCCTACATTCTGAATCCATTCCTATCTCGATTTGGTTCTGCTACAAAATAATTGTTCTCGGCTATTTTTCATTGACATATTGTTCTTTCTTTGACGATAATCGTAAAGATGAAGCTAATTTAATCTAGTCCTTCAACTAAATTTCAGAGCGATTATTAGGCTTTCTACATTCCCAAACTTACAAAGAGCTATGTTCGCCTATGGACATCTGTGAAATCTGTAATCTTGTGAATTAACCAAAGTAAGCCATTAAGAATCTTCATGTGTCCATTTAGTCTTATATGTGTGCGCAGATTGTCTTAACAACTTAGCTCACATAGGGACTAAATAACAACTGTCAAACAGGTAACTGGATACCTCCGAGACCTCCCTCTCTTTCGCACCTGCTGCCCAGCTAGCTGACGGACCAAGCAGCTTTATTCACTATTTCTTTTTTTGATAAGCAGACACTTGTTATTACATCGTTTATTAATTCACAAGAGCCAATGTTTCGGTGGCTTTGCCTCCTTCAAAGCCTGGAAAATTCGTTGAATTAACACGCAATTTACTCAGCCAAACACTTTCATAACCTCGGCAAATGAAACTTAACACATAAGTTTTTCTTATGTGCCAAAAACAGCTTCTTTTACGCACTCACCGTTTTGTTCTTTGTAAGTTTTCGAGTTAGTTGAAGGAGACCAGCTGCACAGAGTATTACACTGACGAGGAATGGCTCAGATCAACAAATCAGCCCGAAGTATGGCACGAGGCCACGCGTGATCACATGGCACTCCTCCTTGCGGTCCATTTTCGGTGCTTTAGAATTTATCCAAAACGCTTGAAGAGTTTTAAATGCTGATGTTTTGAATTCCTTCGCGGTGTTTAAAAGAAGCTGCTTATTATTCGAATGAAAAATTTATGCATTAAGTTTTATCTGGTGGTGTCTATCTATCTATGTCTGTCTATGAAAGTGTTTGGCTGAGTAAATTGCGCGTCAGCCTGAGACTTCTCCAGGCTCTGAAGTAAGCGAAATTGGCGAGGTGTGAGCCACTGTGAATTAATAAATGCTTTGATAACAACCTCGTGTTTGGTCACCGAGAAGAACTGTGAATTGTTGATCAATCCGGGGGTTAGAAGAAGGTCGATCCTGGAAATTGTTGCAAGTAGCTTTAGTTATCGAGGATGACGATTGAACTCAGGTGCAGACGACCCTTATCCGATTCGACAACGCTTTTCTACAAAATTTTTCTTCCTTTCTCTCTGTCCAGAGTGATGGCTGCTCGTTACAGTAACAGCACTAACGTATCTTGAAGACCAAAGCATTCTACAGAAATATTTTACAAATTGATTGTTGCCGTTCATGACGATTTTGTACCATATGGCTATCTCGTATTCCTTCTTCAGGAAATTTCTTGGGTCCCGTTTTTTTATTGTTTTGTGTGATTTTGTATGATGTTGTTGTGACGTTATGCTCACAAGTGCTACTTATGAAGCCTATGATTCGCAATTCTGCAAAGGAAATAAAAATTTCTTTTTATAACGTTTGTAACCAGGCTGCAGGAAGGCCAGTCGTTAAAGATGCGGCTCGACATACGCATCGTGTCCGGTTCGCAGACCACCCCGGATCGGCTAAGACTCCTATCACGCCGACGTCGGGAAAATGGTTAGGACGGCTAGTTCCTCTGGTGAAGACGTGGGAATCCTATAATCTCCTTCTTCCCCTAACCTAAAACTTTAGGAAGTCGATTCAACTGGCATTCAGTGACTCGAAGACAACGTCCTCAAGTGGGAGCTGAATTCACGCGCAAATCCGAGAACCTTCGTGGATGACGGATGTGAGAAAATGGACCAAAGGGAAGAAGTGCTATGATTCGCACAATATGTGAAGTCATTATGCATTATGTGAATATGTGGATGTATTTACGTAGCCAGTTATAATACACAGATAGTGACGATGTACAGGAATTAACTATAATCTGTTAACTTTACGAGAGCTCATCGGATCAACAGGACAGAAGAATCTATAGTTCTTGGCTTTCGGATTGTTAAGTTGGTTCTACACAGCCAAGATTGCGAACAAATAGTAATCCTAAGGGATTACCAAAAAAAGATGACATATTAAAAGACATTCATGTAATTTCTTAACCAAGTCACATTACCGTGTCCAACATTGTCTCCTATATTAATCACCGAATGACTCCAGTCGTTCTCTTAGAGTCCAATAAAATATGTTCGTTAAAAGAATAAGAAGTAAAGAATATTATACTTTTCGTTGAAGGTCTTCGTGAAGAGCATACCACTCTTATATAACTACTGCCTTTAGAAAAAGGACAAAAGGACCATCCTGATAACTAGGGTGTTTAACATAGAGATAGGAAGAGAGAGAGGGTGGGAGAGAGAGAGAATCTGTCAAAGATGTGAACTTGGAGGCAAAGTGTTCTCTTTCGGCGTCGATAAATTGGTATTGGACTAATTTGTGAAAAGTTCTCTCCAAACCGGAAAGGCGAGGAATGCCTGTTTTCCTTAAAACGCTCCAGCAGAGCCACCGCAGAATTCCAGGATGAATCAAGTGGACCAACATTCAACAACATTTACGAAGAAAACAAGATCTTGGATGAGCAGTCGAATCCAGGAGTAAATTGGAAAGCCTTTGTAGATGATTGAAGTAAGACAGTAAACCGAATGAAAAAATGCTGGGTTTCCTGTAATATGTGAAGTTGTGCCATATAAATGGGCTTCTATCTCACCACAAGGGCAGTAGAAGACTCGTAGAGCTAATTTCGGTTTCATAAGAACGATGGCACCAGTAAAGATGCTGCGGTAGACGGCCATCGAATTTCCGCCCAATCTTATCCCTTTCGTGTTTTGGCATATCGTTTTCAGGAGTCGTCCTGGTTAACTTGGGAGCATACTTTTATCACGTTGAATGCCACTCTTCTCGCTTATTGTAACGTCGCTGTGAAAGGCGAAATTCAAACTGTACAGCTTTTCCAAAGAAGCGAATAGCGCAGTGGTAATGATGTCGTTCAGCAAGGTGCTGATTCGATCTTACCCCAGGCTCACTGAGCACCTCATCTCTGCAGTCGAAAGATTAGTTCCTGACGCGTTCGAGAAACCCGCTCACTCTAAAAGACGCTACCCGCCTCTGATCAAAATCTATAAACGCTCCAGGATGTCTATCGCAGGATTCAAGAAAGAATCGCTCCGACCTGCGTCAACATTGTTCATAAAAAAGACCGAAATCCTCAAGCAATTGAACATAGAAGAAGATCGAAAAGCCTTCGTGGATGAATGCTACGAGGAAACGAATGGAAAGGGAGATACCCTAGGATGCTCAGTGCATGTGTTGTTGGGTCGTGTAAAAAAGGGTACTTTATGACTTATGAAGAACCTTAGCGTACTGAGATATGACAATATGGGTGTTTAAATTTTCAACACTAGTAATATCAAAATAAAGTCGAAGGCATTCTAGAAATCAACAAAGATGGGGCACTGGGGTCTGTTGTGGTGAATCAGCTTAAGAGCTCTCGAAGATACGTCTACAGGTGAATTTTCAGCTGTCGGTATTCTTTAGGATTGGCATTCGATGAGTAGATCGTATTCTTTCTCCATACTCGTGGTTAAGATGCTTTTCCTAAAGCAAATCAAACGTGGATAAACTGCAACTTTAATTTGCCAGTTGAGATTCTGCTTCCTTAATTTGTTAGCTTTTTTTCTTTTTGTGAAACAATAAAGAGTATTGGGGACGAAACCGTTTAGAATTTCACTAGGAAAGATAGATCAGCCCCCAGGTTTCCCCTCCACCAACTCTTCTTCTGTCACATCATTCTTTTGCCTAACCATAAATAGTTCTTGTTATATTTTTCCTTGTGGTTTCGATCATTCCGAAGACATCGAATTCTACCCTCTAATCTTGTCAAGCATTCCCTTAAGCTCAACGATATGTGCATCGTCTATTCTGATGCACAAAAAGCTTTCGACTTAATAAGGACGAAGCATTTATTTTTGTTGCTCTTCATGAGCAGTCACCTAGCTCTAGCTCATAAAGAGCTGTACTACAGGTTGAATATAGTCTTGAATAAAGTGATTGACCTTGTTTTATAGTGAACTATGCTTTTAGTAAGCATCTTACTCAGTAGTAGGATGTTGGTAGGATTACACTAATTGCAATCTGGATAGCATGAGGAGCACGCCTATAAACGCAACGATTACCTGTGTGCAAAGATATATGTTGATCTGACCCAATACCAAGAATATGGCCTTCTCCTGAGCACATTCCGTCCATTTAAATACACACCACCAGAAGAACTCAAAGTTTGCACTGTCATTAATTGGTTTTTAAGTGAGCTGTTTTAAACAAGGTAAGGCTATTTTGTTCGTATTTTTGTTGAGCAAACGCGAGGTGTTATTATTCTTTGTTCACAATTAAGCTGACGTTTCGGCGGATTTCGCCTTCCTCAGAGCCTGGAAAGGTCAAGTTGATAGCAATCTACTCGGCCAGACGCCTCCATAACCAAACAAAGAAACCCCAAACCAAGATTTCAATCACTTTGAACACAGCTTTGCACACTCACCGCTTCCTATGAGGTTTCCACTAAGTATGTCACGTAGAGACCAACCGCACAGAAATCACATGGAAGTATAATGTGCCCCTCAAAATATGAAGGTGAAGGTAAGGCTATATTTTTGCATCATATGTATTCTCAGCTATTATTGAATAATGTTAACTTTTTATTAGCCGCCTACTACAATTGTTCACGACAGGGTATTACGTGAAATACAACCACAACGTTGCTGAGATATTTGCCAAACTCCGGACTGCAGGTGTCCGCCGTGGGGATCGAAGACGTTATTACCTTTTTCGGGGGCAAACGAATTCACAACCAACTTATCATGCGGGTCCTTCGTTTCGCCTTTCTGTCATCTATTTTTCAATCTAACAGTGCCATTAGCAGTCACCCATAAACGGGAATGATTTGAGGACCACAAGTCGAAAAACGAAATTATTGTATAGTTCATGTATGCACGTATATGCAAAATCTATTTGTCTCTTTTTTCTCCGTCTTCTTTAC